TACCTCAGCAGGTCAGATGACTGTGCCACAGGTCTACAGAGTATAGAAATCTAGAGGCCCTTAAAAGGAAGTGCAAGGAAAGACAGCAAGATCTGTTGGTCATCTATATCACAGGAAAAGAAGAGAATTAGGGACTTCCATTCATTTACATCATATGAATAGTCAAGCAGCCTGGATAAGTTCTAAGCAGCCCACCTGGGCAGGGGTCAAAAGGTACAGTCAAAAAGATCACCAGACACTGGGTGAAGGTCTAAGGTTAGATTTTTTTTTTTTAAATTGGGCAGCACCCAATTGGGTCACTCTATGATGTTTTCTAATGATACTTGGCAACCTCAGAATAGAAAAAGCAGATATTCAAGTTTACCTATGGTTGCAAGGTAGTAGTTTACCTACGGCAAGGTAGAACACTAGAAGTTCAAGGTATGAAGGATTCTAGGATTTAACCTTAGAATATTTCCTAAAATATGGCATAATGGAAAGAATATTTGACTAGGAAACAGGTGGCCTGGGCTCTACTTCAATTCATCTTACTAGATTCAGCCCATTCTGGTTTATTGGGATTTTTAAAATTTAGTTCCAACTCTGCAAATCCCTGACCACCTGGAGATCAGACCATTTAACTTAACGATACTATACTCAAAGGCTTCTAAACTACTGTATGTGATTTATACTTATAAGATCGGAATAATTTCTCAATATTACATATTGGTAAATGTTTTAGCCACTGACAAAACAAATCATGTAGAGAAATAACAGAAAGAAGTGCTAAATTTGGTAATACCAAAATCCTCCTTCCCTTCCTCAAAACAACACTTCCCCTTCTCCAAAAAAAAAGTGGTTGCTATAAGATTAAATAACCAAACGGCTGGTATACTAATGTAATGGAATACCACTGTGCTATAAGAAATGATGAACAAGCAGACTTCAGAAAAACCTGCAAAGACTTAATCTGAACTGATGCTGAGTGAAATGAACAGAACCAGGAGAATGTTGTACATAACAATAGCCACATTGTGCGATGCCTAACTTTGATAGACTTGGCTCTTCTCACAAATGCAATGATCTAAGACATCTCCAACAGTTTCGTGATGGAAAATGCTACCCACATCCACAGAAAGAACTATGGAGTCTGAATGGAGACTGAAGCATACTATTTGCTCTTTTTTTTTCTTCTGTTTTGTTTTGTTTCTTCTTTCTTGTAGTTCTTCCTATTGGTTCTAATTCTTCTTTGCAATATGACTAATGTGAAAATATGCTTAATAGGAATGTATATGTAGAGCCTATATCAGACTGCACTCCATCTTGGGGAGGGAGGTGGAGAAAATTTAAAACTCAAAAGCTTATGGAAGTGAATGTTGAAAATTAAAAATAAACCAATTAATTAAAAAAAAAGACTAAAGAACCAATAAACAATGGGAGTTAAGAGAATTCAGGTGCAGATTTTTAACTGGCTTCAGTCATTTTTTGTATTCTCATATATGTGTATGTGTTCTTTCCCCAAAAGAATGTAAAGCCCCTTGAGAGTAAAAACTTTTATTTTTTTTGTCTTTATCTAAAATACCTAGCATAGAGCCTGGCACTAAGCAGATTAGATGCTTGATATGTGAATGAATTCCTCCTTCTCCTTTTATTTCAATAGGCCAAAGTTAAGAAAGTTGACAAAAAGGTTAGACCATCAAACAACCAATGAAGCGGGGAGAAAAAGAAGCTAAATGGTTTGAGAAATCTTGACTGCCTAGTCTTTAGGACTAAGAAAAGGAAAAAGGCTTGACAGATCCATCATTTCATGAAACACATAAGATAACAGAATCAGAGTTACTAGTGACCTTACAAGTTTATCCAGTCCACTCTCATTTGAGAATGAAGCACAGAGAGGATAAATAATTCCAAAGTCACAATGGTAGTAACAGACCCCAGATTTGAATCTAGGTGCTTTCCATCTTGTATTCTTACCTTTTTCAGTTCCCTACATTTAATTTCAGTATTAAGCTACTTTTCAATTTAGTTTCAACCCAAGTCTAGTTACTCAAAATTTTCAGCAGTAGCATAAAGAGCCCATGACATGGGGTTGGGAGAGAGCTGGCTGGGCCTGATTTCCAATTCTTACACTTATGAGCAGTATGACCAAGGCTAGTCACAATCTCCTTGAATCTTGGTTTCCTCACCTGTAAGATGAGGAAGACACCTGCAGTCCCCACCTCAGGGGTTTTTGAGGGCCAAATGAGAATGCATATAAAGGACTAATATGTGGAATGGTCTGGGAAAGACTTTCTGAAAGCAAAAATGTAGTTTCTAACTGGTAAACTGGAATAAGACTGTCTACCTACTACTATAGTCTAACAATTACACCATCAACAAGTAGAATCATAAAGCAATTTAAGGAAACTGAAGTACAGAAAGGTTGTAATTACTTGGTTTCACATTTAAAAAGGTGGCAGAGTCAAGATGGTAAAGTAGCTAGAAAACTGTACTTGGAGTCAAGAAGATCCGTGTTCAAATCCAGTCATTATATTTACTAGCTGCAAAACTCTAGCAAAGGCATTTAACCTCTGCCTTCTTCATCTGCAAAACGAGGATTTTTAATATCACCTACCATCTAGGGGTGTTGAAGATCAAATAAGATAATATTTATAAACAAATTTAATGAGCTAGTCATAATTATATCATAATTATTATATATAATTATAAATGCTAGTTATGATTATTATGATACTGATATCTTTTAACTCCAAATTTAGTGTAGTTTCCACTATACCTCAGCTGCCTCATCTAAAGAAAAAAGACGGGGGGGGAGGGGCACGCGCGCAGCTAGGTGACAGAGTGAATAGAGCTCTGGCCTTGGAGTCAGGAGGACCTGAGTTCAAATCTGGCCTCATATGGTTGACACTTACTAGCTGTGTGACCCTGGACAAATCACTTAACCCCTATTGCCACACCAAAAAGGCAATAAACAAACAAACAAACAAACAAACAAACAAACAAACAAATAAATAAATAAATAATGAAAGTTAAAAAAGAAAAGAAAAGAAAAAAGACAGTGAACTACAGGTAAGGACATATGGGTTCTGGTCCCAACCCTACGGCTTGCATTGTAGCTTTGGGCAAATAATAAACTGGGTCTTACTGGATAAGTTTCCTTATCCATAAAAAAAGAGATAAATATTTTATCTAATTTACAGGAATTTTATAAGGGGTGAGGAATAAAATAAAACAGGTCTTCCATGACTATACCTACTTTAAAGGAAGTCCCTGAGAAGCCCTTGTAGAAAACTCTGGGTTAGAGTTTCAAAATCCCTAATTTTAGTTCATGGACTATCTATATCTTTTTCATCTCCTCCTAACAATTGCACAATTCAAAAACATAATTACCTGAAGCTAGGTAATGCAGCATAAAAACTCAAGAGAAAAACTGTTACAAAGACAGTGGCAATATACATTATATAGGAGATCAAAGGAAAACAAAATCTGAGTTTTTTATTACTTTACATTAACATTCTATACCTTGTCACACAAATGAAAAAATAAAATTATACTATATGGTAATTTTCACCTACATAGCACTTTAAAGAATAATTTTGCTTGACCTGATGACTTGGCTCAACAAAGCAGTCCAGGTGTTAGGGTTAACCCCAAATGGGTAAGTTTTGGGCACTTCCAAAGTTTGCGGGCTAGGTGTAAAATTAAGTTCTTCTGGGAGTATATTTTTGCAATTTATCTGCTGCAAATTACAACTCTGTTCATCTAGGCAAATTTTTATAACTATATACACAGACAGATAACGGTTGGTCTCAACAGTTCTTAGGCCGAAAGGGACTTCAGCAGCCATGCAGGTTTAATTCCCTCTTTCTACTTCTGCATGTGACAACTATAATCTTAGCTTCTTCAGCGTGGCAGAAGGATTCAGGTAACAGTCACACAATGAGAAAATGGATTCCCAGGATATGGCAAACTATTTTATACTGGGCTAATGAGTCCAAGAAAGAAAATTAAAAAACATTCATACTAAGAATATTCCTCTCAGCATACTTTTATTAAAGAATCAAGGATATCAAAGAAAAGCCAGTCAGTGCCTATAATGATGTGCCAGGTGTTATAGATACGAAGACCAAAATCAACTAGTACCTGTTCTACAAGCAGCTTAACTTCTACTTCCTTTGTAACAATTAGATAAAGATAAGTTGGAGAAATTAAATTAGATGAACTCTAAAGTTCCTGCAATCCTATGATCTTATGTAGTAAAATGTCTTTCATGAATATCCCACTTTCACAAATATGAAAAGAATGAATGTTTGAATAATTGCTTTAGCCACTTTAAGTGGCTGGCAAGAGTATTCCCCTCAACTGAAGAAGAATGAAATCCCCTCCTCATGACCTGGCAGTCTTCATCGATTCCTGTTTCCAAAAAAATCTGGTGACCAAACTTCTGGTGAGTAGCCTCTACCAATTTGGTGCTGCTCCTCAGATGGAAAACACACAGTCCATTCTCCAGGGGGTCCATACTCAAAATTCCCTCCAGCTTGGTTGGACCTGACACAGCTTTTACTCTGCTGGCATAGCCTTCAAGAACCCAGAGCAACATCCCCACTATTAAGTATCACTGGAGAAGGATCTTTAGAATACCATGAAGTTATTGCTAGAGTTTCACAAATCCACATGCACACCAAGAATTGTCATTATGATCTTGTTTAGCTTGAAGAAAATAGGTAAAAATGACTGTATATTGCTAGTTTTTGAATGTATAGAGATACTTGAAAAACATTTACAAAATCACTTAAAAGATTTATAGAATCTTAGTAGTTTTTGGCCATCATGTATTATCTCAATCAATGAATACCAATTATACAACTTTCTTCAAGTCTAAGTAACATTTTGATGCTGAAAAGGAGTCTTCATGTTAAAAAAGGATGGAAACTACTCTTCTAGACCTCATAAATGGTTACAAAACCAAATAAAGGCTTATTAGCTTCCCAGTTTAGTTCAGAAGTGAACTTCATGCATACCTGTCTAAACTTAGCTCTGGCTTCCTTTTCCTTCATTCTTCCATGTGCAACCAAATAGTCAAACACTTCACCTATAATTGAGAAAAATAAAAGTGAGTAGAAAGAAGCCTACTGACACTAAAGACTTTAACATGAATTTTAAATGCTTCATCTCTAGCAATGCTTCAAATGCAGTTGTATGTCTAAACAAAAAAGATATAAAATTATAGCTACAGCTAGCTTTAAGCTTAATGACTATCATTCAGTTCTCATCAATAAAATCTAACAAACTTTAAAAAAAAATTTCCTTAAAATTACAGTCTGACACCTTAATAATGCTAAGATTTTTTTTAAGGCAACTGGGGTTAAGTGACTTGCCCAGGGTCACACAGCTAGTGTCAAGTGTTTGGTCTGAGGCCGGATTTGAACTCAGGTCCTCCTGACCTCAGGGCCAGTGCTCTATCCACTGCGCCACCTAGCTGCCCCCTAATATTTATATTATTCTTTAGGGTATGTAAAGCTCTTTACATATTTCAATTTGATCCTCACCTATAAGCATAAAATAACATCACTTTCCTGTGATATAGGTGATGTTATTCCCTTTCAAGAAATGACGAAACTAACAATATGAAACATTAAATGATTTGACAGAGGTCACACAGCTAGAGTCAGTATTGAAACCCAAGTTCTCCTGACTCTTAAGTCTTGAACTTCTATCCACTATGCTACTTAAATTCTCAGAATTCATATTTTGTGAGACATTCTATTTAATTTTTTTTTATCATATCAAAATTGAAATTCAAATAAAAGTTGACATGTTTATAAAGAAGATTCACTAGTATTCCTTCATTTCTTTCCCATGGCATTGTCTTTACTTTCCTTTTTATCTTTTGTTTTTGCATCACTTTCACTTACTAAAATATTCCTTGCCTACTCTCCTACCTAATAAGTCATCCCTTATGACAGAGATTTAAAAAGACGAAAGAAAGCAGTTCAGCAAAACTAACCAACCAATCAAACTAACAGCATATGAAATACTGAACACCTTCTTCATAAAAAAAGGGGAGGGAAGGAAGAGGGAGAATTTTTCTTTAGGACTAAGCTTAGTCATTACAATTACATAGCATTCAGAGTCTCTTTTTTGTCTCCTTTCCATTTAAATTTTTGAAGTCATTCTATACTCAGCTTTTGCTTTCTCCATTCCATTATGCATCAGTTTCTAGAAGTCTTTTGATGCTTTTCTGAATTCTTCATATTCACATTCATTTCTTTTGGGAGAGTAATATTCCAATATTCATGTACCACAATTTCTTTAGCCAGTCTCTCAATGGGCTCCTACTATGTTTTAAATTCTTTGCTACCATAAAAAGTTGTCGATTTTCTTTTAAAAAGTTATCTATCTGAGGCATTTAGGAGTTTGTTTACAGACCATTTTTGGGGACCTACAAGAGATACTTAGAAGATATAGGATTAGGAATAATACCAAATGAAGATCAAATTTAAATGAAAATGGAATGCTATTAAAACCGTGAACAGGAAAATGTCAATGACAACTGACTAGGATACTACTTTTCAGCAACACAGCTACACCTACTTCATGAAGTAAAGCATAACTAAAAGTAGCCTACTTATAACACTCAAATAAAGTCTATCAAAAATAAAATTAATAACATTTTTTTGGCATCAAAAAACTGGAAATGATGTGGGTGCCCACAGTTTAAGGCAGAACAAATTGTGATATATGAATACAATGGAATACTATTATTCTGGAAGAAGCAGTGAACATAATAGATTCAGAGCTATGAGAAGAGATGAAGTCACAGAGAGCAAAAAGAAACAAAAACAAGAAAACAGAACTAAAACGAACATCCACAGTGATTACAAAAATGTAACAAAGCAGATCATCACAGCAACATGAGAGCAACACTAGAAGACAGATTAACTGTCAGATAAACTCAAATTAACTGAAATGTTAACTCTCAGTCCTGGAAAACAGATGATGAAACACACATCTCCACTCTCAGTAGGAAGTAAAAAATCTACATGTGTAGAATGTTGCATAAGCCATCAAATTTGTTGATTTTGTTTAATTAATTTTCTTTGTTATAAGGAACTATTTGAAGTGGTGGTGACAGAATATGGCACTAAGAGATGACACTGTTTCAGAATATCCCAATTTAACCAATTCCTTATTAATGAAGAATCATTTTTGCACATAATGCCCAAGACCTGTTCAATGATCTAATTCACACAGTAGCAACACGACTAAAGACTGGAATAATTAAATAATAGAAAGGAAAACTTCAGATTTCAAAGCAAATTCAGTATAGTCTGAAAAAGGACAGAAGAGAAGGACACTAAAATATTTGTCAAAATCACCATAAAAATGTGTCTCCTACTATCTCTGAATCTCTAGGTCTATACCAGAAAAGAATTACTAAAGCATTAAATATTTAACTATTTCATACTGCAGATATTCTTCTTTAAATTCAAAATCTGTATACTTTCTTGATTGTTTTAATTTAAATTAATAACATTTGGGGGGACAAATAAAATGATTGTTTAAAGTTACGATATGCTGACTCATAACAATTCATATACTTTAAATGTACAAAGAAAATCATACATGAAGAAAAACCAACAGTTTAAATAGTAGCTCAATAAAACATTAGTATTTCTGAAGTGTTTGAGCTCTTTCAAACATGGTGTACAAAGGCAAAAGAAGCGATGACAAGTAAGTCAAATGTGCACTCACGATTTGAAACAAAACTAAGTGGCTTCTGTTTTAGTAGCGGTAGATAAATCAGTCTATAATGTTTTATAAAATCTATAAAATTCTGTCAAATCGACAGGATACCAATGAAATAAAAATGGAATAACATCTGTAGAATACTGTGGGGAACCTAAAACCGCATATAACATTACAATTTAGGAATTGGGTCAATTGCATCAGGATTTAAAATCTATTTATTAAACATGTATTATTAAATTTTTTAAAAATGTAGTAATCATTTACCAAGCACTATGTTAAGTATAGGGAATACAAACAGAAATTCAAAACAGTCCTTGCTCTCAAAGAGCTCACACTCTAATAGGGAAAAACAACACATATGAGAGTTTAACGGCAGGACAGATGAAAAAGCCCTCAAGGCTGGCATGATGGTAGGGCATGGGCAACGTTCAAGGGTCATTAGGGTGCAGCTGAAGTGCAGATGGCAATGTCCAGTGGTCCAGAGGGCATAGCGGTTAGGTTAGACAGGGTAATTGTGCAGTCAACCCTTATCACCAACAAAAGTACATTTAGAGTAGCATTGAAATGTTGAAGAGCAAGGCAAAGCACTCTTTTATTTTGGCCTTCATATTCTTGCAGGTAAAAAAACCGAGCTGTATGGAGGCTACCTAATAATGTCTCTCCAGGCCCCAAAGAATTCATAGTTATAGGTAGGAACTAGACCAATCCATCCTGCCCATAACAGCTATGACGACCAAAGATACTCTGCTACTGACTAAGACCAAGTGAGTGGTGACGGGCTATTAAGAAGCAAAAAACTACAGTTGTTCAATCCTGTTTCTGTTGAAAAACAGAACAACTGTTTGAATTCAAGCCTGACATCCAAAATGTCAACTGGACTGGAAATCTCTGCTTTAAGAGGCATTTGAGATTAAATACATTATCAAGGATATGGCAAACATCCTTCCTAAAATTATTAAACCTGATGACTACTTGCAATGATTTCCATGGACAAAAATATGATCCAAAATAAAATTAAAAAGCACTAATAAACTTTATGAAGTCTTGGGCAGGATAAGCTCTTACAGTCATAAGTGATGTTTTTTTAAAATGCTGTAAAAAAATAAAAATAAAAATGCTGTCAATGGAAGCAAAAGCTTTGGAAGAGAAAGGGAGATCTGGCAAGGGAAAAGCTAAGCAGGAACACAGGCTTACAGATTTACAGTTATAACGGGCCTTAGAATCAAAGTAGTTCAATATCCTAATTAACGAATGAAGAAACCCAGAGAAGTAAGGTAACTTGCTCAAGGTAACACAAGCTTATATGTTACTGCTCCTCTCCTCCTTGCCACAAGCTATATACCACAGAAACAAGCAACAGTGTAAAACTAAAGCTGTCCTGATGACCCATGACTGGAAATTTAAAGACAACATCCAAGTCCAAGGCCTCATAATTATATACAAATGAACAAAGTATGGATAACAAAATTGGACCAGACATCCTAACACAAGGAGGCAAATTTAACTTTATATGTTATCAGACAGGGAAAGATGGAATCAAAAAGAATAGGATAAGTAAATGAGAACTGACGGGTAGGAGAACAAGTGAAGTAGACGACACTCAGGCAAGAGAGGAAGTATGGTAGGGATGACATCAGGGTAAAGATCAATAGAGGGAGAAGTGGAAGTAGTTTTGTCATCTCAATACATGCAGACAAAGTGGACAGAAAGCAGCAGTGTAGTATAGTGGAAAGGTTTCTGGACTCAGAATCATGAAACCTGAATTGAATTTCAGCTCTGCTATTTAATTAATGCCTGTGTGACCCTGGGCAACTCACTCAGCCTCTCTGGGCCTTAGTTCCTTCACTTACACAGGAGTTGCACTACATGATCCTGAAAGTTGCTTCTGATTCTAAGTTTACATTCCTAGGAAAAAGTGTAAATAAGTCAAGCGAAGAAAGATCACAAGAACAACATGAAGGTACATGTTACTGTAGGGATGAGAATATAAATTACCCAGAATCTGTCAGAGTTCACTCTGTCAAAAGTAGACCAAATGATAATGTATTTTCTTTTTTTTTTAAAGAAAATTTCACTCTTCAAAAGTAAGAAACAACCAGTGAGGGGTATTTCTAAAATCTGGGACTGATTCTCACCAACAAGGAGGAACTGTTAACTAGGGTAGAAATAATGGGAATTCTGAGAAGTGATCACTAACTATATCTTAGAATTTGTGACTGTGAAGAAAAGGAAAGCTAAGCAAACACCCTAGAATTAGGCAGAACCCATCCGAATGTTACACAGAAAGGAGCGTTAAATCTCATGCAGTAAAATTTTACAGAAACCAATCCAAGAAGGATAAAAGATGCTCTCAAGAATGAAAATTTTAAAACAATTCTGATGAGAAGGAAAAAGACTTGTCTATAAAGAATAATGCAGATGTGTAAAAAATTCACTGACCAAATCACATTTTAAAATGAATTCTGGGCATACAAAGAAAGACAAAATACAATCCCTGTTCTCAAGGAGTTCACTATCTTAATGAGGGAGACAACATGCAAACAATCATGTATAATTAAGATATAGAGAAGATGAGAGATAAATTAGAGGAAAGGCATTAGTATTAAAGGAAGAATCACGAAAGGCTCCTTAGAGAAGATAGGCCTTTAGTTGGATCTGAAAGAAACCAAGGAAACCAGGAGATGAAGATAAGCAGGAAGAGAATTCCAGGGTATGTGAGACAGTCAGTAAAAATGCAGTGTTGGGAGGTGGAGTGTACTGCTTAAGGAATAGGAAAGAGGTGAGTGTCACGGGATACAAATGGAAGGGAGGTAAGGGCAAGAAGAAGAAGAGAAGGAAAGGATATTATATTTGATCCTGGAGGTAAAAGGGAGCCGCTGGAATTTACTGAATTGGGGAGAAGTGGTGACATGGTTAGACCAGCACTTAAGGAAGCTGAGTGGTGGATAGACTAGAACAGTGAGCGACTTGAGGTAGGAAGATCAACTAGAAGGTTACTGCAGAAATCTAAGCATGAAGTGCTCTGGGCCTGCACCAGGTTAGTGGTTTTGTCAAGAGGACAAAAGGCAGGGAAGGGTAAAAGAACAGTAGTAACTTCTGAAGATTATAAGTTCAATTTTGGATACAGTGAGTTTAAGTACATGAAACCTCCATTCAAATTATCCAATAGGCAAATTGGATAGAATTTTTTTTTTTGCATGACAGCTAGCAAGAATGGGTGAATCAAGTAAGGATTTCACTTTTTGTTTTTTAGAAAAGATTTACTAGAGTTATAGTTTAAGGAAATGCTATAGATAGTTTATTAACAAAGTTTCACGGTAAAGCTGTAGAAGATAGAGATGTCAGCTAGAAAATAGTACACATATACGGTTCTAGAACGGATTATATAGTTGAACCCAACGTGTAGTCATTAATGGTTTGATATCATTTTTGAAAGTAGAAACTCTGTTCTGGGCCCTATGCTGTTTAATATTTACTAATAACTTGTATAATGACAAAAATGGAAGGCTACCAAATTTATAATGAGGAATACCTAATAGATAACAGTCGAGGTCCAAAAATATCTCAGCAGATTAGAATATTAGACTAAATCCACCAAGATAAAATTTAATAAAGCTAAGTATAACATTTCATATAGGAATTCAAAAACTCAACTTCACAAGTAAAACACTGGGCATCTCCTGACAAAGATGTGGGAGGTTTTAGTGGATTGCAAGTTCAGCAGGACCTTCCAATAATAGGGTAACAGTTCAAGTGTATTCTGTCACGGTCATACTACATAGTGTGTTTATTTTAGGGTATCAAAGGAAGAGCACCAACCATCTGGAGATTTCCAGAGAACTGTACACAAGCTGGGATCCTGAGATCATGAGTACAAGCTACAGAAAGTGGGGATGGTTGGCTTGAAGAAGAAAATATTTAAGGGGAACACGCCAGCTATCTTCACATTTGCTGAAGGGAGGCAGTAGTTTAGGTGTAAGAAAAAATCTCCTAACAATTAGATGCAGTTCATGTCTATAGCACTTTTAAGATTTGCAAAGTCCTTTCTTCCCAAAAACCTGACAAATTAAGTAGTGCAAGCACTATTGTCCTCATTTTACAAATGAATGAACTCTGAATAGTTAAGTGATTGGTCCATGATCACACAGTTAAGTGCCTGAGGTAAGATTCAAGCCTAGACTTCATGCTTCCAAATCGAATGCTATATTCACTACACCGTTTTGCCTCTCAGCTCCAATGCAGGATGGACTATCTTAGCAGGTATTGAGTTCTTCCTCAGTAAAGACCTTCTAGCAAAGGCTGAGTACTGAAAAACTTGTTTAGGTATGGACTGGACTAGGTAGATTTTTCTAAGCCCATCCAGTTTTTCTTTCAATGCTGAGACTGTCATTCTGTAAGAAGTGATGCAGCAGTGTGGCACATAAAGAACTAATCCTGGATCTACAACTAATTTGCTGTATGACCTGGGGCAAATTACCACTTCCCAAGGCCTTAGTATTAGATGTTCTTCTCTTTCTTGATCTAATAAAATATACGCTATTTAATAAGAAGGTTAGAGGCAGCTAGGTGGCACAGTAGATAGAGCTCTGGCCTTGGAATCAGGAGGACCCAAGTTCAAATCGGGCTTCAGACACTTGACACTTACTAGCTGTGTGATCCTGGGCAAGTCACTTAACCCTCACTGCCTTGCGAGAAAGAAAAAAAAGGTCAAATACATACATCTATGAAAGGAAAGGTTATATAACGAAATAATGTTCTCTATTACAGCAGATAATCCAGTGGCAACAGCATTTAATTGATATGGTTAAAATGAATCAATTTTCATCATTTGCCACTTCAGAAAAATCCTGTACATAATAAAAGAAAACATCCTGTCCATATACATATTCAGTAGTTTAGAAAACAAAAGAGAAGTAAAACTTGTATATGTGATGACTCTTTCTTTCCGCCTCTGGGTTCAGAACTTACAAGTTCATTAAAGAAACAGTATTCATTAACTGCTTCTGCCTACTGGTTCTATAGAATGACTATGAGATTATTAGAATGTACTCATGACAAATAAGATTTTATAAAAGAATAAAATTTCAATGTTTTCTGGAATATATTATAAATTAACCAGAACTCTATAAAAAGTTCAAGAGAAGAAAAACTTAACTGGTTAAAAGGAACCAATTTTATAGAACTGTTATATATAAAAGTAAAATCAGTAATCAACTACTATATATTTAATTCAGTATTTCAATAGCTCTGTGATACTCTAGATGTCAGTATTCCTCTCCTTGATACAGACAGAAATTCACCCATGCCTTCTTATCCTACAATTCTTGCCCATATTCATACTGAAAGCACTTTAGCCAAATGTTTGTATTCATATAACCTTGCATTTCAGTTAACTAATAGACAATTTTACTATTTGTCATGATCCCTGACATTCTAGGGAGTACACAGTATTAAAAAGAAATTCTGTAATATTTAAAATACATAAAAGATTACTGCAGATCATACTAACAAAATTAATCATGTAACTGAAAGGAGAAGCTAGCAACACAAAATAACTTCATTTTTACAAATTGAATTTCCTAAAATAAAAAAATATATATATTTTGGTTTTTCCTTAATATCTTTAAAAACTCATGAGATTTCTCCAGAGACATACTAAAAAAAAAAAAATCACATAAGCATTACCTACTGAAAATGCCCAGGGAATTTTCTTAAATGGCCCTCAAATATGCTAACTTTGAATTTTAAAGGAAATCTTAAAAAAAAAATAAGCATAATAGCTAGATAGCTATGTCTATATGTCTACGTGTCTATAATCTATGGATTATGTGCTTTCCTAACTGGAGAAATAATATTTGTATTATTTGTAAAATTTGAATATTTGTAAAATAAAGAACACATAAATGATAAATATGTAAAAACAAATATACTTACCTCCACTTGCATACTCCATGATTAAGTACAGTGTTTTTTCAGTTTCAATTACTTCAAATAACTTAACTGAGGGGAGATTAGGAAAAGGAAGTAAAATTTACTAACAAAATGAGCATATACATTTGTTTTCAGCATTATTCAACAGCAATGTTGAAGGTAAATGTATGTGAAGGCCTAGATATGTTGAAAACCTTAAGTTCCTGGTTTTAAGTAGATTTTTTCCCTTTTAAACAGTTTTCAGTAACTGATTCTTCAAAAAAAATGCCAACTGAGTCTTTACTATGTGTGTGTATGTATATACACACACTTCAGCAAATAAAAAGATTGAAATCAGATATACCATAAACATACAGATTACTCTGAGTACATTCTAACAAATTCACTTTGCATTAGCAGAGCATGATAAATATTTAATACTGACTCTTACCTGTAAATTTTCTTCACACGAGTTTGCTACTTTCTCCTCAGATTTCAAAGGAACATAACTCTTTCCATCCTCCAATACCATCTCTTATATACACATATACACCTTAATAACAGTACTTAATATTTCATAAGCTTCGCAAACTAATTTAACAAACATTTAAGCACCTACTATGTGCAGTGATCCTGCACTAAGTACTTAGGATAGATAATCAAGGTGCAAAAAATTTAGTTAGCACCTACTATGTGCCAAGCACTGTGCTAAGTGCTAGGGATATAAAAAAGAAAAAAGTGAGATGGTCCTTGATCTCAAGGAACTCAAAGTGTGGGAGACAACATATTAAAAAGTTCAGCTGTAGACCAGATGGAAAGGCCTAGAAATCCTAAGAATACAGGGAGGTGGGGTGAATGGTAAGGCCCAAGGGTCCTTAGGTTACATTAGTGGGTCAGACATAAGTGTCAAGAGTCTGCAGGGTACAGAGGCAGGGCAGATATTAAGACCTGGTGGTCCTCCATCTCCTAGGAAGGAACAGAATCAGTGGTTCTTCCTTCTACTTCAAACCTTGACAGCAATGTAAGCAATGAGAAGAGTTGGGAAGGGTCCTCCCCCTCCTGCTGCCAGGCTTCACCTGGCAGTCCAGGACAATGCTGTGTTGACTGGGGGAAGGATGTTCCAGTGGTAGCAAGAGATAAAAATCTTATGGTCCCTACATGCAATGAGCTTATACTTTAATAGGTCAGATTTGTGTATGACATAATGTGATGTGGGCAAAGGAAAAATTCATATGAAGTGATACAAGAAAATTTTGATGAAGAGAGCACTTTCTGCTGGGAGCAGGGTTAGGGATCGGGAAAGGTTCAATGGATGGCATACATGATTATCTTGGCCAAAAACTGAAATAAAAGATCTCAACAGGCAGAAAAAGGAGTGTATTCCAGGTGTGAGGGGATAGTCTTTAAAAAAAAAAAGTTTAAGAGTTCAGTTAACAGGTAGACAGTATGGCCAGAACATAGAAGACATGGACTAAATTTGTATGGCATAAAGCTGGAAAGGGAGGTTGGACTCTTATTGTGGTGGGTTTTAAATGCTAAGCTAAGTGTCTATTTTATTTTAACTGAAAAAGGGAACCAATGAAAGGGAAATATCATCAGACCAGCAATAGGAATATTAATTTTACAGTGAAAAAATGTACTGAAGAAAAGATGTACTTGAATAAGACACTCCCATTTCTTTAAATGAAATGAGAAAAATACCTTTTGGCCCACTTCTACGTGGGCCTCCTTTACTTCAGGGAGGTAAGGGATATAAAGAAAGGTCTGAAGTTCCTAAATTTAAAAAAAATATATTTTGGTTTTTCCTTATATCTTTAAAAACTCATGAGATTTCCCAGAGACATACTAATAAAAAATCACATAAGCATTACCTACTGAAAATGCCAAGGGAATTTTCTCAAGTGGTCCTCAAATACGCTAACTTGAGAGAAATGAGAAAAATGTACTGAAGGAGGTGGGGAGATGACAAATTATAACAACAGACAGGGGGGATGAGACCCTGAACTAGGGTAGCAATGGAGTGGCTAGTCTACCATTTCTATAAGCTCACAACTCACAACTTCTCTTATTTCAGCTTTTGGGATGCTAATTAAATTACTGGTTAAAATATTACTGGTTGAGTTGTGAAATTTCAATTGCTCCACAGAAAACAAGAACCTATAAAGTAACTATTCTGGAGCAAAAGTTGAGAGAAATGGAAGGTACTGTACTACGATAAATGGGAGAGGGGTGTAACCTTAGGACATATTGGTTTTCAGAGAGAATTAATTAACTTCCTATGAGAATGAGGGTCTTGCTCTATCATTTCCCTTAAGTATAGAATATTCTTCCTACTTTTACCAAAACTAGCAAAAAGATACACTATGGTAGCCTTGTATTAGAAATGTATAAATTCTAAAATAAGAGTCATGAACACATGGAAATCTACAAAGTCAACATTTTGGGTAACATTTCCACCTTAATTTTTCAGCATGTCAAATTAATAAAAATTACAATGCAGGCTAAATATTTTCCAAAGTCAAGATGAATTGCCTTCACTTAGGTTTAAAAGTTTCCAGTAGACAAAAAAATACTTAGGAAAGCAAATGTCTACCTTTTATTATGGGATGTCAACAAGCATTTATTTAAGTGTTTACTATATGCCATACATTGTGCTAAGTGTGGGGGGAAACAAAGAAAAGCAAAACCCAGATCCTATCATTGAGGAACATACACTCTAAAAGAGGAACAAAATATAAATAACCAGGCACATATAAGGAATATACAAAGTAGATAAAAAGTAATGAGAGGTGATGGCATTAGCAGCTAGGGGGATTGGGAAAAACCTCTTGCAAAGGTGGATTTGAGCTGAGTCTTGAAAGGAAGCCAGGGAAACTAGGAAGCAGAAGTGAAGGGGTTATAGCCAGGTATGGAGAGGGGAAACACAAGTGTCTTATTCAAGGAATTGTAAGCAGACCAGTAGGCTTAATCACAGTGTATGGTGAAGCATTAAGTGTAAGAAGTTTGGGAAGGTAGAAAGGGGTTAGGTGTCCCTTTCAGTCCAAACAGAGGACTTTATATTTGACCCTGGAGGTAACAGAGAGCCACGTGAACTCATGAATTGAAGAGGTGATGTGGTAAGACCTACATTTTAGAAAAATCACCTTGAAGCTGAGGGGAGGATATATTAGAGTTAAGAGACCTGAGCCAGGGAGACAAGTTAGAAAGATATTGCAATAGTCTAAGTTATAGATGATGACAGTGACTATGAGAAAGGGACTGATATTTTCTGATGCTTTGATACGTATTATCTGAAGCAACCTCCTTTCAAAGGCTTATTTTGTAAACTTAAGTTGCCAAGAAATAAACCACCACTGAAAAATGGTCCTGCATTTCTTTTCTTTTTTAAAGCCAAAGAATTAGACTCCAAACTCCTTTAAAGCTAAAAACAGATATAATACCAAATAACAGAAATTGTGGAGCCTATTTTAAAATCATCTAGATTGCATATCACTCAATGATTTTGGTAAAGTGTTTGGGAAAGAATCAGGCTATCACCAAAACAATTAAAAGACATAATTTGAAATTTAAATCGGAATAGTGAAGGGTGACAGCAATAAATTGTTTCCGTTTTTATATAATGAAAAATCAAAACAAGATGTTCCCAACCCCACCAAAAAAGTATCCTGTATAATTCTTCATTTAAATATACAGTATATGACCATAACAGAATGCTATATAGTATATAATCATAACAGACATTTTGATAGCTCTTGGTTCTGAATTTAAAGCAACTGTCATGCCATAAGAATGATTTCATAATCTAAGCTTTTTAAAGTTAATTAAACCAGAATCTCACATAAGTTCTTTAATTTTAGCTTTGATTCTTTAATTGTCAATACTTCAAATTTCACCTTTTAATCAACGGTCACTCAAAGTACCATAATACTTACTTAGCAACATACAGGAAATGATGAAGTCATTGACATACTAATTCAACTTTTTTCAAAATGTGAAATTCTGAGTCAGGAAATTAATGGTACTAGAATGTTGATTAGAACCTTGGTATAGTAGATGAAATAAATACTTATATTAAAAAAATCACAGCATGAATAGATTCTTTGGCTTATCACCATTTAATAAGTACTACAGTAAAGCAAAACTGCATGGTGTTGTTTATTGTAAAAGCTCTCATGAGATATTCACAATATCACAAATTTTAACTGACCTGTAAAAAAGTTAAGGCTTTGGAAAATTAAAAACATAAAATCTAAGTTAATAGTAAAACCCACTGTGTCTTTAGTTATTTGTACTTTTTTTTTTAAAGAATGGCATGATTTAAAACAGGTGTGTTTGTATATTTTCATGAAGTTCCAATGATGCAATACATTTTCTCCATGCAGTATACACAGTGGTCACAGAATGAAATTTCCATTGTGCCTAGACAGAATGAGCACTAAAAGATACTGGCTATGATGCTGTTATATATAGTATTGGATCATAGGATTTTCAAATAGGAAAGGATGTTAGAGATCACTCTAACCCAAGGTGCCTCATTTTATAAACGAGAGAAAAGAAGTCTAGAGAGATTAATTTGCCCAAATCACATAAATTAATAAAGAGACTGAGCTGGAAAGGATGGAGTAACATAGGGATTTCAATGCCAGAAACTCAGGGGTCATTTTGTCCAACAAGAATACACTCTATAATATCCAAGGTGGTTATTTCCACCAAAACACTTCCAGGGATAAGAAGTTCTTTACCCCTGAGGAATCATATCATAATTCTGAATAACTCTAATTGTGAGGAAATTTTCCCCTTATGTTAAGCTGAAATCTGCCTCCCTGTAACTTCCATCTATTGCTCCTTTTTTTTTTTTTTAAACCTCTGGAGCTAGAAGCACACTCTTGTCCACTGGAAGCTTAGAAGATTTATAAGAGGCTATTGTAATGGTAGAGAAAAATGGTAATGAAGGCTTGTTCCAGGATGGTATTCATTGAAAAGGAATAAAAGACAAAGTGAAAGAGATTACAGAGGTGGTATTGATGGGTAACAGACAGGATATCAGAGATGAAAGAGTAAAGAATCAAAGATAACCCTAAACTTCTCAG